AGGGGAATTCCGGGACTTCAAGATACATGTAGAGGCGGCGGGACAAACCGTTTCAGAGGGTGAGCTGGCCGTGCACGTTTTGGAGGGTTTGCCCGAAGAGTATGCCACCGTTGTGAGTTCTTAGAGCTCGGAGAGGAAGAGCTAATCCTAGATGAGTTTTAGCCAAAGCTAATGCAGAGAGAGCAGAAGCTAAAGTTGAGGGCTGAAGCGGGATCCTTGAAGGGGACTTCGGGTGGGGATGAGGCTGTCGCGTATGCCGCCCAGCATAGGGGCTACTCGAGCTTAGAGAAGGGCCGGGAAGCTCAAACGCGCTGGGAAAAAGCTCGGAGGTCAGAGGCGGGAGCTCAAACCCGCCAACGTGCTACTGTTGTGGCAATGTGGGCCACATTAAGGCAAAGTGCAGATTGCGCGATGTGGAGTGTCGCAAGTGCGGCAAGAGGGGCCAACAAAGGTGGTGTGTGGGCAGAGTGCGCGCAAAAGTGGCCCCGCAGAGGAGAGAGAGTTTGCGGAGAATGCAAACGGGGTAGCCTTTACGGCGTGGGGCGACGACGGGGATGTGCGCAACGGGGTGTGGATTGTAGACTCGGGCAGCACCCAGCATGTCACGGCCGATCGGAGCCAGTTCACGAGCTAAAGAGAGCTTGTGCGTGTCGAGAAGATCGTGGGAATTTGTGGTGAATCTCTGATTGCAGTGGGCATTGGAGAAGTGGAGCTTAAGTTTAAGACCCCAGCGGTGTGAGTACGGTAATCTTGAGGGAGGTCCGGCAACGCTCCGAGGGCAAAGGCGAGTTTGTTCTTGCTAACTAGAGCGCTAACGCGGGAGCACGAGTGGTGCTCGAGGGGAGAACCGCGCAGATCGAGACGGAAAATGTGGTCCGTATGGAGGCAGTCAAGCGTGGAGGACTATGGGAGATAGAGACCGTGAGGGAAGCAGAGAGCATTTTTTGCGAGGGGTCCGGTCGTGGGGAACGGGGTGTGCGCCACGGCAAAGAGGCCGGTAAGAGCAGAAAGCGTGGTGAAAAAGACGGTGAAGGTCGTGGAGGTCGATCTAGACGAGTCGGACGACGAGAATGGGGGCGTCGAACGAGAGAGGGGAACTTTTGTGGGGGCGGACGAAGGGCCGCGCACAGGTTCCAAAATGGTCGAGAAAGGGGTGAAGTTCGAAACAGCGCGCGAGGGGGACGCGCACGCGCCCGCGACGGATCGCGGCCGCGCCGCGCGCACGATTTCAAAGAAAGGTCGAAGTGGGCCGATTGTGGAATTGATGCGCGAAGTTGTACACAGGTAGGTGTCCGAGGAGATCGGAAAGGACAAGGAGAGCCCCGTGACGGCGGGAGAGAGTGAGCCCGTCGCTGTGGAACAACCAACGGAGAAGCCTGTAGTGGAGTCCCATGAGTTGGAAGATATCCCGCGAGGGTGCGACGGGAGCCCGCCGAGTGATATAGGGCAAATGTGGAAGCAGCAACGGAAGCCGTGGGAGCCGAAGAGCCGGAGCACGGAGTGGAGAAGACGTCGTCGGAGACGAGCGACGCAGTGCACTACCAGGAGAGCGAGAGTGACGACAGTGGAGGCGTGTGGGTGACGCCAAAGGCGAAGAAGACAGCCCTCAAGAGGAGCGTGACGAGTTAGAGGCTTTGCGTAATTCGTCTGAGTGGGAGTGTTAGAATTCGGTGATTATGCTCAGCCGCATTATTGTGTTTTAGGGTTCGCCCCGAGTTAGGGTTTGAACGAGTGAGCGCCGGCGTGCGTGTACGGCGGTTGGACGGTTAAACCGTCAGGCGATTTGGGGTTAGGCGGTTGAGAGCGGCCGTCAATGTTAGCCGTAGATGAGGATATCGAAGGCTAAGATTGAGTGTGATTGTGAGCTAGGCTAGTGAGCCTAGTAGTGTGTGACTTAGAGCGGCCGTCAATGTTAGCCGTAGATGAGGATATCGAAGGCTAAGATTGAGTGTGATTGTGATATAGGCTAGTGAGCCTAGTAGTGTGTGACTTAGGCTAGTAAGCCTAGTAGGCTAGTGAGCCTAGTGGAACGGGAGAGACCCGTGAGACAATAGTGGTGAGAAACGCTCTTGTGATACATCATTCTAAGAAGTTCGTAGAGACAAGGAAGTCGCTTGTGAAACGCTTCGTGTGATCCTCTTAGGATGCATGGCTGCCATCAATGAGTGAAAAGCATGGGTGCCGGGCAACACGATAAGACCCGATACGAGTACCTCAGCTACACTACGATTCCCTACCATGAGTTTCAACAGGAACATTGGATCTGACCGCTTCAAAAATCTGTCATTTAAGCGTCTCCTTTACTCAAACCGACCCACCAAATACCATCCCTGAAAGTCATCAGCACAACTCAGTCAGGGATTGGTCATCAATCCGTACGCCATTGGACTCCCATTTGAACCAAGAGAGCGTGAAGACCTCGAGAAGCTGAGCTCCAACAAAGCGAGAGTCTCTTGCCACTTCTGTATTGCCAACCCTCTGCATGTTTAGCAAAGTCCTGACGATCAAAATTCTAGTGTCACAATCCTTTTGCATTGGATGCACAGAGATGTTCACTAGATATGACGAGTTAAGACTTCTCCTCTTAAGCTCCCCGGCACTGCATCTCGGCCTTTCCTCACAAACAAGCTCGTTGTGCAGGTAACTGATTGATTTATATTGCTTCAGAGGGGCCCTAACGATGCAAACTGTAACGATTACGACTGGTTAAGCCT